CGGCGGCTACTGTGGGTCCCGCCAGCTGGAGTCTCTGGCTGACAGTTCTCTGCGTTCCTTTCATTTCCCAAAGTCACTCAACTGGAGTGGAACAGAGACATCAACTAGATCCCAGTTTCCCGAATTAGGAGATGGTCCTCTGCATATCTTTGAGACTAAAGAATGACAGGGCAGTGACCTTGGCAAATCACTATTTCACTTCTTCCCCTCCCACTGAATTCTCTGGCCTGGCTGGTTTCTGCTTAGGCCAAGCTGGCTAGTAAAAATTAACAACACAGATTTTTCCCCCATGACACCACCCACAGGCTTAGCCACAGAAAACTCGGGGACACATCTCCCATACTGACTGCTGACAGTGCAGAGGACAGAGTGCCTTTACATAGGCAGAAGAGACCTTACATGTGGTAGTGCTTTTCTTCAACTGGTTGCCCTCTTCCTCCTTCTTGGCAGAGCCCCTAGGGTCTTCCCAGCCTTGCTTTGAATTCTGACAGCTCCTGACAAGATCTGAGCTGGGGATCAACAACTTCTTCATGAATCCACCAGATGAAGCTGGATTAAGAAGCACAGACAGGTTTTGGGTAAGAAATTTCAACACGCATCTCTTAAAAATCTCTTTATTGCCCAGCATCTCTGGCACTCACCACTAGTCACCTTCATTTCTAGTCCTAGTTCTCCTCTCTTGACGATAGCAAGGGGCGCAAGCCCAAAGGAAACAGAGAGAAACCACCAATTACAAAGCCAGAGTATGAGAGAAGGGTGGAGAAGAAGAATAAAAATGGTTGTGAACCACCACCAAGATTTCTCACCATTACACATTTACACAAGAGAGAGTAAGCAAAATCTTGCCAGCTGTCTTGCACAAGGGCATCCTATGGAGACAGAGTCCCTCTCCTTGGGGAAGGATGGCTCTCCAAATAAAGGCACCACAGGGCCAAAGCAGAAGCAGAGAGCAAAAATCCCTGGCAGCAAGGCACAATCTCCATCAACGTGTTCCTTTCACGTGCCTTGCAGCGCTAATGCCTGTCCCCTGCCTGACTAGCAAAATGAAGGCAAAGCTTATATCCTTCATACCAGAGTCCTGCTTTGCTGATGGGACAACTAATGGACTTGGCTTTGTCTCCTTGTGTGCTGGGCTCCCTGTTCCCACCTGGGAGTTATCAGTAGATTTCTTAGAGCCACCTTGGTCTCTGCAAAGAAGAAAGACAAAGGTAGGAAACCATCCCTCTTGCAGAATGGTTCACAGAAGTGTTCTGGACACTTTTCTAATCAGAGTCCAGCAATTTGAAATATGCTTTCCCTCCCCAGAAATGAAAGCCTTTGCCTATTCCATCAAATTGTTGAAAACAGAAGCATTAAAACAGGAGGGCTTCCCTCCTATGTGCACACAGATTTCCAGCAACAAACACAGCTGCAGACATGGACATCCCCATTCACTTGTCACAGGGACCCATCAGCTCCAAGACACTCACTTGCTGGCTACGGGCTTCAACCGAGATCTCCACTCTGCTGGGTTCTCAGACTTGTCTTCACCAACACTCATGCTTCCTGAAGGAAGAGACATAGCAAGATAATATCAGATCCAATAAAAAGAAACAGGCCAGATTTGTGTCTCAGGAGGATCTTGGGAGATAAGCCATGCACTGGGGTAGACACTATGATGTTATTGCAGCAAACCAGCACTAGTTCAACAAGTTTAACATGGACAGATTCACATACAATAGGTAGTAAATTTGCCCCTTTCGGCTCAAATGCTTTAAATCCTACGCAGCTACAGAAACACAGTCACAGTGTAAACGAACAGGCATGTCTGACAGCAATATAACACAAACAGCTCAGATCTCAGAGACCAAAGGATGGGGGAGAAAGGGAGAGGAGACAAAATACCCAGAAGCTCACAGTGAACTGCAGACACATGCTATTTCTGGCTCAAAAAAAAGACAAGCCATCTGGAAGTGGTTGAGGCACCGGGTGCCCCCAGAACATCATCCCTCAGCCCACTGCTTGGTCACCATGGAAGCTTGGTTTAAAACAGACAAGAAGGCTGGGTGAGCCCCAACTGCAATCACAAAATCATCCTGAAGTTCTGGTAAGGTCTCCCATCTGGGAAGGTCCACCCAAGCCTCTGAAATCCACCATGATTCCAACATTTGATGACAGCTAGTACAACTTCAAATACCTGGAGATTCTCAGAGATGAAAAACTCACCATTGCACATGGACAAACGGAGGTGTGTGGAGCCCAAGAACTCAGAAAACCCTTATGTGGTGGTACAGACAGAAAGTATAGGAGTCACTGACACATTCATTGTACTGGTCCAAGAGAAAGGCATAAAGCTGTCATGCTGTGTCCAGGCAGAGCTGTACGTGAATCAGTCATCCTCACCTTTGATGCCTTTCGACTCTGGCTTGTGCACGGAGTCAACAGGTTTGCTGGCAGCCTGGCTCTTGGGCAGAGGGTCTGTAATCTTTTCCTGTTTTAGTGCTGTGTACCCTGTTTTGCTGGACTGTGCTTTTGCAGCTGGACTCTGCCACTGAGAACTGGTGGGAGAAAACTTGCCACTGCAAAAAAGAACAACCTAGTGAATCTTTTTAAAAGGACAGACCTTTTCGTTGGCCTCTGTTCCAAAGACTTGGATGAGTCCTTCTACATGTCTTTAAATCTCAGCCACAAAAGCAGTCAGGGAAAAGGGAAGGGACTTCTCCAAGTTATCCCAAGGATCATCTTGGGAGTAAAGAAGGAGAAAGAAATAGTACTTACCTGCTGGACACTGAGGAGCCAGTGGAATTGAGTCCTCCTAGCCTGTTTGGAGAGGTGTTTGATCCAGCCAGAGCCTGTATAATATGGTTACGTGCCTGATCCTTCTCAGCATTCACTGGACTGACCTCAGCAGTGGTTCTGGCAGAGGCAGTCTTACCAGGGCCATGAGAAGAAGGGACTTGTTTTTTAGTGTCAGAGGTTTTATTGCTGGAGGACTCTAATGACCGAAAAAAATTTTCTCGGGCTTGCTGTGTTTTTGTTGTGGAGGTTGTCCAAAGAAGCCCTGATGGAGTACCTTCATGGTGATCTGCTTTACTTCCCAATGGGGTACCTTTGCAGTCATCTGATTTATTTACAGCTGAAGAGGACCATGGAGTATTTACACTTTTGAAGCCAGAGCTTCCAGAAGATGAAACAGATGGCTTGGTTGAACTAGCAAGGCCTTCCTGGCTGGGTTTCTTCAACACCTGTTCCGGTTTCTTGGGTTCTGCTGCTTTCTGGAATGCCCTGGAAGCAGTAGGGGCTGGGGTACTCTCAGGTTTGTTCCCGGTGCTGCGGAGACCAGAGATCTGGACGCCATCTGATTGCTGGTGGCTGGTACAGATGAATGTACCGGGCTCAGGCCCAGCTTTGTAGCTTCCAGGAAGAAGCACGTTCCAACACTGCCTGCACCTGTGGATACAAAAGTCTCAGAAAACATCCTCCAGAGCACTGGGAGGCCATGGACACACAGCTGAGAGCGCAGGCGCAATTCCACCATCAGCACAGGGAGGGTGAAGTAACCACACTGGCAGTGAGTAGACCCTGTGTGCACATTCCTCAGGCACCAAAATCAGGAGCTGCTGATAGCACAGCTTGAAGTAGGAAAGGTGCAGATGAAAACAGACCCATGCAAAGAGTTCCCCCCACGCATAGGTCAAGAGCAGGCCCAGGCTGCCTTCACTCTGACAAAAATGTCCTCCATCACCTTGAGTGCCTCACACCACTCTCCCTCCAGTCCCAAGGGAACCAGGCTCCCCTTTGTGACCCACAAGCCTGTGCCCCCACTTTGAAGAGCTGTACCTGAAGCAGTTCCTGTGATAGAGCTTCCCATCAACCAAGTACCGCTGCACCAGGTGCACATGGTTCCTGCAGATCCCACAGCTGCTGCTAGGGATATTCCCACTCTCCGCCAGGACTCCTTTCTGTGGGGAGAAGCAGTGGGTGAGCAGGCAGCGCCGTGGCCCTGCATACAGCTACGAATCTTCCAGGTGGGCGAATATTTGACACGCACAGCCAGTTGGTTAGCACAGAGAAGTGACACCAGAAAATTCTTGCTCCTGCTAAGTCCTTGCTCGTACGAAGTGGAACAGCCCTTGGGAGGATGGAGTAAGGGGAACTTGTTCCCACAAAGCCAGAGGACCATGTGTTTTTTCTGCCTGTGGGAAACTGAAGTGCAAAGGTGTATGATTTGAATTAGCTGGGAACGGTCCTCACCCTGGTGAGAGAGAAGCTTCCCTTCTTCCACCCTGTTTTAGTCCCTACGCTGCTTTGAAACTGTTTCCAAGAATTTAATCAATGTTTTCTAGCAAAAAGAATGCATTCTGTTAAAAATATCCATCCGTCCACAAGGTCTAGGAACAGCACAGCCATGTCCTAAGACACCCACATTCTATTCAGCACTGACTGATGGCTTTCTAACGACTCCCACCTGAATCTGTTCAGTAACCGGACCTCTGGATTAAATCCCCCACAGTGAGCAGAAAATGTAGAGATTGAGTCCTTACCACTAGCAACCTTGAACTAGCATAATACTCCCCAGCTCACTGAACAGATTTAAGGGTTAAAGAACACCCCAAAACACATTTCTTACCGTGGTAACTGGGGAGGCTTCTTTTGGCTTAGCTCTGGCTGGCGGGTGGGCAGGAGGCAGTTTTGGTGGCACTGGCTTAGGAGGCTCTGAAACAGCTTTCTTCCCAAGAGGCTGCTCCTGAGGTTCAGAGGAAGGACGCTTGATTCCAGCCATGCCTCCAACTGGAAGAAAGGAAGAAGGGGAGATTTTAAGGGTATCCCATGAGCTCAGGAGTCATTTACAATATAAGAAGATCCAAAGGTGCCTGATGGATAACATGCAAAGCATACAAGGGGACACAGGCTTCCTTCGCAAGCAGTTCTGTAGTGGAGTGAGAGGCAAGAGTTCACAAGTGAATTTTACCAACATACACTAGTATCATCTGGCAGCTGAAACTGCTGACTCTTTTTTTCTTCTCGGGGAATTCCATGGAGGGGAATGAAAAAGTGGAAAAATACAAACCCCACCAGTCAATGGTGTGAACGAGACCTCGGGTTTGTACCTGGCCCACAGTTTGGCTGGAAGAGATCACCACGGAAACAGGCAGTGCAGTTAGGTATTACAGCTAAGGAACAGAAGCACGGAAGGTTTGCTTCATTCAAGTTGCTTTGCTCCAGAATTCCTATATCCCCCTGAACCTTCACTGCTGCAGGCGTCCACCCCACGTCCTGGCTGGGACTCTCATGGAGCAGACAGGCTTGTTGAATGCAGAAATGACCACTAAAAATGGATAATTCTACAACAGACACTTGGAGATGCCACAGTGGTGCTGATGCAGAAACCAACAGGACTTGCCACAGGAAGCCTGCAAATGCCCAATCCTCTTTTCTTTCAGATGAAAGAGAAACCCTCTAAATTCACCAGTGGAGAAAAGAAAATCCCCAATACACTTCAAGCAAGCAAAGAATGATGCCCCGTGCCCTGGGAAGTACAGGGAGACTTTCCTGGGAAATAAAGCTTCATGCACAATTTTTACAGACAAGACCCCTCATCTGTCTCACAGGGATGTCATTTTTGTGCCACTTCCTATTCTGAATGAGATGTCACGGTGTTTTTTGTGGGATATTTGAGCCACAGATTCACTTTAAGAGCGACCAATTAAATGACCACCCGTCTGAAAAGAGATTATACCCTTTTCAGTAAATACAGAGGGAGTCTGGGCAGAGTGTAGGGAGCAGAGAAGGAGCCCGGTTCCCAGCAGTCTTCTCTCAAGAAAGCTAGTTATCCAAATAAACAGCCAGAGCTCTTTTACCACAGCGACCAGTGGCCTGGTGACAGCCAACTCAGCAAACGGTTTAGGCTCAGGCTGCCCCCTCACTTCCCACTTGGGCCATTTATCGAGTTCCCAAAGGCCAGCACAAAGATGGGTGGCTTCTGCTCTGCTCTTCTGTAAACGCCTGACCTCAATAAAATATCGGCCGCTGGCCCTCTCTGGCCTCCTGCGTCCTGCTTATTTCATGGTCCTGCTGGAGCCCATTTGAAGGGCACGACGATGGTATTAGGAGTTTGCTTGGTGTCAGAGGGCACATTCCTGGCTGGGCTCATTTTCAGACACGCACATTCACCCCAGCAACAGGAATGCAACCAGAGTGTTTTGTGGGACACTAGAGAGTATAAAAATGTGCTGTGCTTGATGATGTGGGAGGCAAGATGCTGGCGGGGGGGAGGGGGTGGAGACCCCAAACTGACCCAGATTCCCACCACTTGGCACAAACACGATGGAATTTGTTTGAATTCAATCAGAATGGTTTTAAAACAAGAAATAAATAAAAAATGAAGAGAGGGGAGGGAAGAGGTTGTAGAGGGAGAGAAAAAGCATGCTTAAATGTGTAAGGAGGTGGAGAAGGGGGAAGAGACATTAAAGCTCTCAGAGTGAATTGTACTTTATTTCTAAGATGTAGGACATTTTCAGTACATATCTGTCTTCTCCATCTAGATTCACCTTAACCAGTTAAGTCATTCATGTCCCACTTTCTAAAGTTTCCTCTGGAGGAACCTGTGAAATTGGTTTATCGTATTATTTCATTTTGTATGAGCTTAAAGCCAAATATAAACCAAGTCTACAATAATGCTCCTGTGAGCCCAGATAAACTCTACAGTACGGGAATATAATGCCTTGGCAGCTCTGTGGCCTGTTTTATGTTTGAAAGAATTGCTATCACAATTATGTCAGTTAAGGGGGTCATTTTCTTCTACTTCCCTATATCAGTACTGCCGTACTGTACAAGCCCTACCACGGATGCTGTTACATTGGCACAGCCTCACAGACAAGCTCAGCCTTGTTAGACTCCATGTTCTCACCAGCCCTCCGGTGTGGCAAGGACAGGAGCAGGGATGGAGGTGCTTGAGAAAGGAAAGCTGAGGTGGGGACCACGGAGGGGGGATCTTCACTGCTCCTGTCTGGCTGAACCGTAAGAAATTTTAGATTGTATATTAAATTTTAAGGCACTCATTTTAAAGACAAGGCACAGCCTTGTGCGCTTCCAAAAGCACTCGTGCTGCTGTAGGCTGGTGTGTAAAGAATTCAGATCCCCCACTGAAATAGTTCTGGTATCAAAAGGCCTCTGTGCAGTTTGTTTTGTTTTTCGAAGCCTGTTAGGAGGCAAGGGAAAGCACAAAATTAAGCCTCAATCCTTCCCACCCCTCCAGCGAATACAGTACTTACTAGGAGACCGTCCATGGAAGTAGTTATAATACTGAGAAACATAGGTGAGGATGCTCAGCCTGTCTGGTACTCTCAGAGCAACCATATCCTCTGCATCCAGCAAGGCTGGGATCCCCAGCTCCTCCTCCGCCACTCGAAATGCCTAGAGAAGGAAGGAAAAAAAAAAAAGGTGTCTTGTCCAGCCCAGGCAGCAGAGCTGCTCCTCATCACAAGCAAGAAACTCCACTGCAAACAGCCTCACTCGAATAATAACTCTACTGGGGAACAGATGCACCAGTTTAACTCCTACATCGTGCGGCCGTTACAGGAACCAACGGAGTCATGGCTTCCAGCCACCACGTTGAGAAATTCAGGCAGGGAGCCAAAAATCTGGCCTGGCAAGCTGGCCGTAGCTCACTGCACAGGAACTCACCTGGGCTTCCCCTGCTCTTCCTCAGCCTGCCTCTATCAGGATATGCACAGCTGCAGAGAGCGAGGCCTGGCAGAAGGGGATGTGTCAGTCCAGGCTGGCAGACTCGCTTCCAGGCTTCCAGCCCAACCTGGAGCGCTCCCCAATTAACGGTGCGCTGGTAGGTGTTTGCAGGCAGCTTTCTATCTCTGAGAGCAGTGCAAATGTTAACGCTTCCTGCCTACTCTTCCCCATTTGAAAAAGGGGAAATCTCAGGCTGCAGGAGGGAGCTCTCTCTCCCAGACTAGAGAGGAGGAAGAGAGGAATAATGCAGAAGACTGCCTGACACCTAGCTCCCATCCGGCTTAACCATTCCCATGCTAACATGTATTTGGGGCAAATATTCCTCTTTTTGGTGCCCTCCACTTTGAAACTTCAGGATCAAAGGAGGTAAAAGCTATTTTATTTTGCCTCTGAACGTGAGCCCTTACTAGAGGACAAAAAAAAAAAGCAACATCCATAAAGCCTTTGCTCAATTCAGTGTGGAGCTTTTTCTAGGGACTTTCTCCAGCCCTCTTCCTTCCTGGCTTATAGGAAAAAATCCTTTCCCTCCCCCTTTGGAGCATCCCCTTTGAAATGTCACCACAGTAAAGGAAAACAGCACTTGCAGGACTGGAGGCACAAGGAAAGCTACTGCTGAAGCCCACAGTGAAAGGGTTAAAGAAATACTTGAACAAATTAAAACCCTCCGCATCTGACCTCTGGCACAGACACACAACAGTGTTGGTGTACAAGCCAACTATTCCTGCTTAGAAGAAACAAACAGCCATTATTTTTTAGCAAGATAATTACCATTTTTTTCCATTGGGTATCCCAGTAAAAATGTAACTGAGCTGACATTAAGCACGCTTTCAGTCAGTTACCTCCGGTGCGTCATCCCGGCTGCCGGCCCAGCCTGGCACTCCCTTGTCTCATAACCTGGTACTTAATATATTCTTTGGAGTGTTCCCCATTGCACTGGCTGCACAACTGGTCTGACCAGTGGGGTTTTACTGGACATTCCCAGTGTGCAGTCTAGCAGGAACGCAGGCCATGCCACCTCCTGCCAGATGGTGCCATAGGTGAGACCAGCGCAACAGGCATAAAAAAAAGCTTGAGGGGCTCCCTGGACCACAAAGAGGAGGATGCTCTATGCGCACAACTGGTTTGGCCAAAAGCAGAGCGCAGCATTAGGATGTAGTGTCCCCTGTGTCTACAGCATCCTCGTGTTCCTGGGAACTGCTCTTGCCTGGAGATCCTACAAAATCACCACCTAACATGGCTCAGTTGCCCTTCTCTACCTGCCTGCCCAGGCTGGCTTTTAAAGAAGAAACATGTTATTTCTGCATAACATTTTTCATCAGTGCAGCTCCAAGTGCTTTATGAAGGAGGTAAGTGCCGCTGCTCCCATTTTGCACAGAGGAGGCAAAGTGATATGCTTGAAGCCATCTGAGCTGGCCAGGCACAGCTCTCACACAGGCTACCGCTGTATCTGCGACACCATGCCACCGTCCCTTAGCACTGAAAGAACTGGATCCAAGGCCTCTAGAAACCTTTATCCTCTTTATCTATTTTTGAAATCTTCAGCAAAAAACCGCCACCAACTGAAATTTTCCTAGGGTTAGGGGTTGGTTTTTTTGGCACTTGAGAAGTGACACATTCTTCCTCAGTAGAAGACCTTATATGGCAAATTGCAGTCCGGACAAGATTTTTTAGTTGAATAATACAGCCCCTGAAAATAAGTTATTGAATAGTGAGGCATCAAGGAGGGTTTGAAGAATAGCTGAAGAATAGTGCTTGGAGAAATCAGACCCACTCGTATCCCAAGGGCAGCCAGAGAAAGAAGGTAGGAGCTAGGATGGAGAGCAGTCTGAGGGGGGAGGCCAGCCCAGGAGTCTAGAGGGAGATGGAGGGGTCAACCCCACTGATGGCAGAGCCAAGGCAGCAGGATACCAGCAGTGAAAGCACAACACAGACAAGTTGTCCTACAGCAGGTGGAACAAGGGAGAGAAAGCAAAATAAAGGACATAAAAGAAACTAAGAAACGGAGGGGGGGCGGAGGGAACACAGGCTGCGACAAAGGAGGGGAGCAACTCTTTTTATGAGAGGCACAAAGAAGCTTTTCATTAATAAAAGCAGCGGAGGCGGCTCATACAATTCATTTCCCAGAGAAAAACAAAGCCGCCAGCAGAGCAGACCCCATCAGCCTGGCTGGGGAAGGAGCAACACTCAGGGCTTCACAGCGCTCTGGCCGGGATGACCGTCCATGGAGAAGAAGAAGCCCTCATGCCTGCCAAATACCAAACCTGAAGGGCAAAACCACTCAGTCTGAATCTCACCTAGAGGAGAGGAACACGTAGGGCTGAACCCCAGAAAGTGAATAACTGCTCACTTACTGCAACCCCAGCTTGGGGAGAGGGGGATCCATCACAGGCACTGTGAACACGGCCAGGGCCAAAGGGGAGCGGAAGCTAAGGAGCGTGGGGAGGCAAGTTTAGCTCTCCCGGAGGCAAGGACCACCTCAGATGGCTCACTGCGTCAGAGGATGTCATTCCTTCAGTCCAGACAAGAGTAAGCTGCCGTGGTTCGTTCACATCCCGAGCTCCTGCCAAGCAGCCACGAAGCTGTGTGGAGCAATGCCAAGGGAATAGAAGCATTTTAATCCACTGCCTCTCTCTTTGCACGGGAGAGAGGGAGGGAAAAAATCCTTCCTTGGAGCACTAAGCCCAGGGTTGAATCCAGTGCAGGAGGGGATTGGCTTGCCCAACTTCTGCTTTCTTTGTGGAGAGAACAAGAGAAACTCAAATCCCATCCTGGAGCGAAGTGTTGAGGCAGGATGAGGCTTTAGGACGTCTCCACCTTCTAGCAGCCTTCATCCCCTGCACTGGGAATGAGCAGAAGTGGGGGGACACTCCCTATACTTCCCTCTTACACAAGCTACCTCCCAGCTCCTGCTCCATCCTCAGGAGCATCATGTACTCAACATGTCCACGCCCAGGTCTTGACGTCCAGCATCTCTGTTCAAGTTTCCGCTGCCACAGACCACATGGGACACAGGTGTCGCTGTGCAGCCAGTGAAGGAGCGTGAGCGGTTTGAGGGTGCTTTCAAGCAGCCAGCAAGCATGGACATTGCCACTCAAATTGGAAGGTTGGACGTATGCAGAATAAGGCAAAGGATTTTAATACAGCACACTCAGCACACTGCATCTGTGGTGTTTCTGTTGTTAAACTACAGAAGCAAAGCATAGACTAGGCCAAAAGTAAAACATTAAAAGTCACTTACCAACTTGTTATTCTCGTACACATTTTCTTTACTGAGGGAGTTGAAGTTTCTGAAATATAGAAAGAAGAGAAAAATCTCAGGTTAATGATGTAGAGCAAGCTGCTTCACTTCCATCTTCTCAAATCTCTCTGAGCCTCGCTGGTTCAGGGGACAGAGCATCTCCTCCCACTCTGCCTTCTCAGAGACGCTCCAGAGGGAGCAGCGTGGCAGATCCTGTCCGAGACAGCCACAGAAGTGCTGTACCTCCCGGGACAGAGACATGCAGGAGACCCAGCAGGCACAGCCATCTGCCCACAGGCAGTACAACACAATTTTGGCACATCTACCCTTGCAGGGCTGACTCCTGTAGCCTCCCACGGACAGGACATGCTAATGCCAAAACATCCCATGCAGATTCATGAGTTTTGCTGAGACAGCCAGGAGCAACCTCTAACTCATGGGGTATTTTTTTTTTTCCCCAAAAAAGCCTTGCTCCTCTCCCACCTCCAAAGGACACACCGATGCCTGCCAGCCAGATTTGTGACACTCCCTTCCTGGAAGTGCTTTCCAACAGCCACATCCATGCTTTTCTCCCATCTGGCAAGTTGTCTCCACACAGTGAGACCTCAGCTCCAAGGAGGTGTGGATACCTCAGATGCCGCACAGATTTATTGCGCACTTGCTGCATGTATCGCACGCTTCTCTGACGCGCCCGTATCCTCTGATCTCAGAAGCTGTTGGTTCCACCAGCACACAAGTTCTGGTTACAAATCCTCTTCTCTTCTCTGGCAGAGCTCCACAAAACCAGCACCAGGAATCTGCCTTGGAAACACCTCTGCCCACAACACAATACTGCGGCTGATAATACCGCAGCCGCTTGTTGTCTATAGAAATGTTATTCTCCTTTCCCTAGGGCTGTCACCTTTGATTTGTCATCATAACCAATAACTGAAAAGGAAGAGATAATTACTGTTTGCAGTTACAAGCCAAGTCAACAATCCTTCTTCCGTTCTGCTGTCCCTGGACATCACCTCCCTCTCCCCAGATTTGCTCTCCCCCTCTCTGGTCCAGCCCAGATGCCACCTCTCTTGGCACTGTGCTGGGAACTCAGAAACCAGGACCTGGCAGGACAGGCAGGACACAATTGTGCTATTGGAAGTAGAGCAGCAACACAGTGTGCCTTCTCACCCATAGCAGAGCATGTCCCTTGCTTAGGAAACATTCGCCTTCAGCTTTGTTTTAAACTCACTTTGTTTTAAACTCACTGTCACCAGCTAAACTGGGAATACAAACCCAACTGTTGGCTGGCAGCCCTGCTGCCATTGCTTCCTTCTGCCAGGCAAGCGGGCAGGGTCAATTCCTTTCTGATAACCCAGTTTCACTTTACAATCCTTGTACCTGCCGGCACAGAGCTAAGCAAAAGGCTCATATCAGAGAGCAAATTCTCACTGCTAAACAGAAAAGGCTACAAGCCAACTTTGTATTTTTGTACGTAGCACCTTTATAACCAATGTGGACCTACCCTTGTTAGGTTAGCCAGTCCCTCCCCTCTGAAAGGAGCCAGGGTAACTGTGTGAAAGCCAAGGCAAAGCTGACTTGCAGCAACCTATTCATGAGACAAACACATGATCCGTATCGCAGCAGGGGAACTTTTTCCATGACTTGTAATAGCAAGGAGCAAGCCAGGTCCTTTATCTACTTAGTATAGAAAGTGGAGCATTACATTATAAATAAGAGAGGTGCCTTCAAACAGGTTTGTCCACCATGCCGCAGCCTATGCCTCCTCCTCACTTCCTGCATCTGGTGTTGCTATGTGGGATAAGGAGAGAAAGAACGAACAACAGATAAGACCCAAAGGTCAAACTCCCCCAAGAAGCATGTAAAGACAAGGCACATCCCACCTTATATATAAATCCCACATCCCACCAGTATATATAAATCATATACTTTTTCCTGTGCAAAACCAAAGGGACTTGCAGAGGTTTTTCTTCAAGCAGTGCTCCTGCCCAGAGATTTCCCTTCCCTGAGACAATAGATTAAAAAGAGCAACAAAAATAATCACAAGCAAAAATAGTTTCAGTGAACAATAGCTACAATCATCCTGTTTTGTGTCAGGCAAGAAAATCAGCTTTTTTAAGAGCCAGCTGATAGAGATGATTGCAACTCTCTGCCTCACTCCTGGTTCTGCTCCCAAATAAAGTCTCTGTAGCAGTAACATCCTGAATGCAGGAAAACACCCGCAAAAGCAAAGGGGAGCTCCAGCTTCCTTGTCATTCTGACACATAAGACATAACATACTGGAGCTACCTATTTATTGCTGGTGAGTGCCTTTTGCTCCCATGCTGAATGCTGTTTGCTGTGGTAGTGTACAGCTTCACATCGCGTGGCATGTAAGAGAGACCTAAAAATCTGAATCTCTGATGGTGAATGTCTGAAATCTCCTTCCATTCCCTGAAGGAGAGTGCAACCAACCAGGTTACTTGGTGATTTCAAGAGCCTCCTGCCCTCTCAGCATCACTCCTTCCCTGGCCAGTCAGGTGAACTGCTTACATATTATATTTCTTTTAGAAATTGATCTTACTGGTGCATCTCCTATCTTGGAATATCAAAGCTCTCCGGACCAATGTAATCCTAAGAAAGCAAAGCTAATACAAATGGAGAAGTAAGAGTTCTCCGCTGAGAAAACACAGGCAACCGAATTAATTGGAAGAGGTGAGAAATATAGATCTGACCCAAGAGAGGGCATCCAGTGTTGGAAACAAATCAGAGTTCACAAGCACAGGAAGAGGAGGCAAGTTTTTAGCTCCCCCAAAAAAATCCTTCTCTTAGCAAAAAGTGGCTGAGCATTTCTCATGCCCACAAATCACCGTGACCACCCACTGCTCCAGCTGCACAGATCCAGCACTCGCAAAGCACGCAACAGTCCTTTGCAAGCACATGTGTCTCCCTAGGAGGAATATCTGTTGCTGCTGCTGGAAGCACTAACTCGGTTGGAAACTTTACCTCAGAGCAGACTGAGCACAAAAAGTCCCAGAGCTGTGGTGGCCTCAAAAAGCTTCTGCCTCTCAGCACTGTCGCGCTATTTTTCTCTAGAGACAATAAGATATGTGCAGGCAAAAAGATCAGTGAAAAAGTGAAGCACCCTCTGCCTGCTCGCAGTCCTTGAACAAAGGGTTCAAATCCAGCGTGCTGTGCTGAAAACAGCACCTTTCGGCTGTGCTCTTTCTGGAGGTGCAAACAACCTGGGGAGAGGGGACAGGGCTGGGAATCCCAGGTGGAAGATGTCCCCCATGCGCTCGTTCTCCTCTCAGCAATGCCTGCTCCACACAGCTCTGGGCTCACTGGCGAGCTGCAGTGTGCTGTGGGGGTGACTAACAACAAACGAGACCCCCTGACCCCAGAACCATCCTCCCCTCGCCTACGCCTGTCACACAAACCACAGTCCCGCAGCAGCCAAGCAGGCAGCAGCTCTGCTTCACCCCAGCCTTCTGCTAAGGAGACGGAGACTGCGGGAAACACGTCCTCAGCACGGCCAGGGCCCTCCCTGTCCGTACCAGCAACACTCAGCCTCATCCTGCCCCGCTGAGCTGACAGCAGCCCAGGAAACAGCGCCGGAGGAACCGGTGCCTGCTGCTCAGCCGCCAAGGAGTTTTCACAACCAGTCAGTTCCCAGAACACTGAGCTAAACAGCAGCTCACAGTCTGGGAAAGAACAAGATCCCGGACGAAGAGAAGGCGCTTAATCAAAACCTTTCCTCAACATCTGGCATTAATATCCAAGCAAGCGTGTGCAGCCCCCCTGCTTCTTCCAACTCACTTATCAGGCCAAGGCCACTAAAACCGTGACCAGAGCTTGCACAGCCATCACCATCACACACGGCAGCCACAGACCTCAGCCGCCCACCATGCCGCCGTGCGGCTTCACGTCCCTCTGATGAGAGGAGCCTCAGGGCTCCGCAATCACCCCAGAAAATGGGCTGGGACCTGCCTGACACAGCGTATGTGCCTGGCTGGGGCTGGCTGTGAAGCACTCTTCAGCTGGGATAAGAGAGAAATGAATTTCCATGGTAATTCAGTGTACTTCTCCACTCCCTCAGAGCATCCTTGGGTGAGTGGGAAGTGACTGGGAAATGCATTTCTAATTTTACACGGCCTACCCTGTTCACTGATAACATACAAACCGACATCAACTAAGATTGAGAGAAGTTATATTTTCCATATGCTTTCCCGCAAGGAAACAGGAAGGAGGGAGAGACCCGCACCAGCCTGTCCTCCGACCCACGTACCCCACAAGACAAGCCTGTGATTATGACCATGTTTTGTAATTGCTTGAAGTTTTCCCAGGAATTTTTCAGGCTCCTGCAAGGAGAAATCCCCTGCACTCCTCAGCCCAAGAATGTCATTTGTGTAAACCAAGTCGGAAAACACACAGTTGCAAAACTCTGATGCTGTGACTGAATCATGTTCTGCAAGTGATTTACATAGAAGAGCTGCTGCAAACACACTGAGTGCGCCAAATACCAATTATCCTTTTCTAGTTTTATTTTCAGTATAATGCTTTTAATCTTCAACTAGGCTCTTTGCTAGAAGAAAGGGGAGCTCAGGATAAACCATTTCAAGTCCCTGGGAAGAAGGAGTCACAGCCACACGTGCACCCAGCTGCACTTCTCTGCCGGTGGCTCCTGCACCGACAATGCTCAGAGAAGCATTTACAGATTCATGGAGAATTTGCACACGTATTCAGCCCCAGGATCTGACACATGACTCCCGTAAGCCCTGGCCACCAACCACTTGAAAGCATAACTTCCTTCCAGCAGGACTTTGCCCAGTCAAGGATACACCTGGTGCTTTCCTGCATTGCACCATTGACACTGACGAGGGAGGTCACTGATAAAAGCTTCTCTTACTTTAACCTTCAGGCAGTCGTTGCTGAGCTGGTCCAAGTCAGAAGGAGCTTCTGCAAGGTCCTGAATAAAGTCAGGCAGAATTTCCATTGTAAAAGAAAATGAATGGGAACAGACAGATACCACAAGGAACGCCCTCCCTCTTCAGCACAGGAGCATTTATTCAA